TGGCGAGCGGAAGCGAGCTAACCTAGTGGTCCGAACGGCGCGATTTTTCTATATATATATATATATATAATTATATATATGTACCCGTACGTCGTCCAACTGCGCATGCTCCAGCATTACGCACTTCTTTTTATCCGAAAGGGATTTCAAAATTTTCATAATGCTGCCTGAATCGAGCGGAATCAAGGGAAACGCAACACCTCCGAAGCTATCGAGTATTGCTGCACAGTCCAGCGAGAGATTTTTCTACATTGCCACTTGTTCTCTATTCCTGCAAGACCAATCAGATTGCCGGATTATGCCTGATTCGCGCTGTGGACTGACCGTTTTTGACTCGACTCGAATTGTCTACTGCGCTCGGGTCGTTTCGGCCTACTTGGTCCTGTGCAATGTATCTCACTGTTTTGTGCACACACAAGAGTGACTCATACGATTAGACCCCAATTGTAAGCGCGCTTCCGCTCGCCAAAAATGCCATGCATTCGCCTACTAGTAATAATGAAAAGCACTGAAGTGCAAACCCTCGGCACATAATTATATATGCCCAGAGCGTAAGTCCATAAGAATTTATATAGGGCTATAATACAGTATCAGCGCACTGTATATACTGTATTACGACCTATGTAGTAGTTATTACACCTTTTGGAGTGCTGTTGCCGGTTTACAAGGCCGACGTCCCGAGGCCTTGTAAACCGCAACAGCACGACAAAGGGTGTTATAATTAGTTTATTGATAGTTGCTAGGTGCTATGACGTCAATTTCCGTCGCCTACACGTGCATTTTTGTGGTTTCGCGTCCTCTGCCATGCTTTCTCGTGTGCGGAGCTCCCACTGGCGTTTCTCCTTGCTTTGCGCTCTGTTGCAAGTCATGGCAAAGAGGTCTCGAAGCCCTCTTTCGCGTAAGTGTCGAAGGGTGAACTTCAGAAAGCGAGGCTGAGGACGATGATCAATCCCGCACGGGCAAAAAGCTGAGGTTGAGTCTGGCATTAGGGAAGTAAGTAGAGCCCATGAGTCAAGAGTACAGTGAGCGATTTGAATATTTTAGCGGTGCTAAAGCTAAGACGCTGGAAAAGAAGTTCGTTCTATGATGCACTTTAAAGCGCAGTGCTTATATCGGATATATTGCATATTGTCACCTTAACACCTCGTTGGTGCATTAGGTGATTTATAGTAGCACAATAAACATAGCAACCACCTAGCAACGGTCAATAAATGATTATTGGCGAGCGGGAGCGAGCCAACCTAGTCGTTCGTTAGAGCGGCGTTCGTCGTACGTCGTGTAAGTGCGCATGCGCGGCTTTGTACGCGCTTCGAAATTATTTCCAACTTTTTACACATTTTCACACACATGCCTCGCGATATGCGCCGATCGATCTAGCCAGCCAGAGAACTCTCCTCCATTCGACGGCATGCTCTGCAACCTTCGGTGACTGACCGAGGCTGTACCTCTTCCCAGTCTTCATGGTTCCAAGCTGCAAATACGCTAGCATTGCTCGTGCACATACTGCTGCATGCCAGCTGCCTGGTGGACCACGCAGCGTTGTCGGGCAGCCCGATCGATCGCTGCCATGCCAGCCTGGTGGACCACGACAGACAAGCTGAAAGCGTGAGGTAAGGACCGTTCTGCTCACCTGCTCACCGTTCTTCCAATATACAGTACTCTGTCTTGCTTCACGAAAGGAAAGCTGTGCGCTGACGGCACGTTATGCAGCCCGAACATCGCAGACAAATCCCAAGTTAGGGTCGCTCCCGCTCGCCAACAATGTTCAACATTTCCACTAGTTATTATTCTATGGACGTTCTGGTGGTTTTCCGCATTATATGTAATGCAACGCCCACCTACAATACATAAACAGACTCCTGCTGCAGATCTAGCGAATGGTATGTGGATATGTGTCACCCGGAGGATAGGGAGAGAACTGATGGCTCATTAGCACTTTACTTGGCTTCAATCTCTATTGCCTAGTATAATAGATATTCTGACTTCACATATATAGCTAACTAGCTAGCTACAGTTCTTCTCTAGACTGCATTTCCGCTTATTTCAAAAAAGTGTGCTGACACCCAACACTGATTGCTAACTCCTGAAGCATTCTGAACAGGATAATGAAAATGCAAAAAAGGGGAAATTTGCGATCACGCACTTTTCTGCAACAAAATTTTGTCTGAATAGAGAATGAACAGTCCAAGGTGACGATATACAGCAGCCTGCTGTACATGTGTGGGTGGGTGCCCATCTCTGTGGGTAGGCCCCACCCTCCCTCTTGGGTAGTAGCTAATAATCTGTTTTTAACCCTCGGCGCGCATGCGCAGCGAGGGTTACGGTAGTTACCCTCGGCGCGCATGCGCAGCGAGGGTACTGTAGTTGGGTGTTGTGTCGTTGTGTTGTGTCTGTTACTCTCAATCTCACTTCTCGAATGTCTGTTCGTCCCAGAAACGCTACCATCTACCCAACGGGCGACGAAGGTCAGAAAATATGTGGGGTTTTCTCTGAAAATGCTCCGTTGCAGAGCTAGAGCGCTTCCACCATTGTATGGCTAATGCGTAGTCGGCCATTTTTATCGCTGCGGAAAATGCGCATGCGCTTATAACCTCGACCGGGTCGTCCGCTTGCTCTGTGTATCTTGAAGGCACAAGAAGTCACAACGAAGGGCGTGTATCGACTCTCGCATACTATCTACTACTGTAGCTAGCCCGTGTCAGACTCTCTGCGAGCTACTAGCGGGAGATCACGAGTAAACGCATACTAATAGCAGCCCAGCCCATCAATTAGCGGTACCGCGCATCCCCAGTTCGCCGAGGGTTTGCACTTTAGTGCTTTTCATTGGGTCTGTCTGTCTGTCTGTCTGTGTGTCTGTCTGTTACTCGTCATCTCACTTCTCGAGTGTTCGTTCGTCTCACAAAGGATACCACCTACTGAACGGGCAATGAAGGTCAGAAAATATGTGTGGTTTTCGCTGAAAACGCTCCGTTGCAAAGCTAGAGCGCGAAAAAGCCAATATGCAAATACACAACGGCTTACTACGGCATGATCGATCCGCGTGCTCTGCGTACCTCGGAGGCACCAGAAGATGCAACGCAGGGCGTGTATCGCCTCTCGCATGCTATCTAGTAGTGTAGTTAGCCCGCGTCAGACTCTGCGCGAGCTGGCAAGAGACCAGGGGTAACAGCTAAAATTAAACCCAGCCCAGCAATTAGTAGTACGGCGCATGCGTTTACTTACGCGTGCGCGTAACAGTACGCCGAAGGTTTGCACTTCAGTGCTTTTCATTTCTTTGGTAGCTGAATCAGGACTCTTTGCTTTTTGGTGTGCTTTGATGAGAAAAACAGATGGCCCCACCTTGTAAAACATAATATAATTCGAATATGCAATTTAACATTGAGTTCTGCATGTTATTGAGTAACAGTCATGAATTAGCATCCTGATCTGAAGAAGGTGTATGTAGTGTGAGACAGAGAGATAGATATTTTTAACGACTGTAATAGCTAAGATCATCAAGCCATACATAATATGTCGGGACAGAGGCACATTCATCACAAATCCCAACACCCAATTTCCTGCTTTTTAGTCGGCTGATAGTGCGATACTGACTTACATGTATTCTGACATCACACTGGGTGTGTTAGCCTCTGAGACTTGGGACTAATGCTAGCCATTTGTGTGTTTGTGGATGAGCACAACTCAACTTGATGTTCATTTATGGATAGCGAACTTTAGCCTGTGGGATTCTCGACATATGTACATGTGGATGTGGTATGCAGTGACTAACTTCGGCTTAAATTGCTCCATCCCATTCTATACAATGTACTTTTGTTTAGCAATGCATTAGTTAGAAGGTACGGCTAGCACACTGGAGGTTGCGTGAGGGAGTCTGGCATGAATCTAAGTTAGGTGTTAAACCGACGGCTGCAGTTTGCAGCGTGTGTGACTCTGCACACTGCTCGTTGAGGTCGTCCTGACTTGTATGGACTCATACATTGACCGTCTGCTATGATGAAAGTATGCAGCAGTATAATCGTACCTTTGGGGAATGTTTCTTTTCTCAGTAGAGTAGCAAGGTCAGAGTACGCAGTTTCACAGGAGAAAATGCCAATAAACTTGTTAGCCCAAACTGATTTTTTCAGGGATATGTCGTAGTTCTGTCTGACAAGGCCGAGTAGCTCGCGGGATTTGTCGCCATTACTGACCCCCAGTTTAGAGAGGACATTACTGGCAGCAGTTTGAGTGATGAAGCCACTCTCAATGAATTTGTTTGAGAAGTAGGTCAGATCTCCACTGACAGTTTCGGCCACTGCAGTCATGTGACGACCCATCACTTCCGAAAAGTCTGCAGAGGTATATACCATAAATGTGAGAGAACAAACCACTTGGGCACATTAGACGTGAGCACGAGTACAGTATTGCAGCATGCGCAGCTAAGTACCGCTGATTGGCTGGTTATGAAGAGTTATACCTTGGTTGGTTTTTGAGACTGACAACGCTGCACCACCTAGTTCCTGTAAGGAGAGAACCACCATGCAACACTGTTCATAAATAAAGGAGATGCTGTATATAAACAGCAATGCCCTTCGCCCTGAAAGTGTATATAGCTATAGGACCTACTAAAGCTATTCTAAGGGGTGTCTAAAGCAACATTTATTATTTTCATTCTATAGCTCAGTGGACCCACAAAGGGAGCTCACTAATATTCCATAAACACATAGAAAAGAAAAGTAGTTATATACCAGTGCTGTCAAGGTAGTAGATGATGTTGAAGGCAGAGAACGTTTTAGCATTTTGGCTATTACCTGCGTTAAAAAAGTATAACTCACAGCACAGTAAGTGAGAGAGAGGGGGGTTAAACCTACAAGTATGTTTCTTCCTGAGAAGATACTATACTTGTCCATCTGTCCTCTGAGACACTGGTAGGTTCCGTCACTCTGTGTCTGCCACTCTTGGAACATCCTCACTGCCTTGGCACGGTCACTGCTGCCACCCTCTACCTCTATCTTATGGAGAGGAACATTCAGAACGGTACAGAAATCATCAATGGAGGTAATGTTGGACGATACATTTTCGATAAAGGATGAGGTGACCTTACAAGACCCTAGTTCGTCACAGTACAGATCAACCAAACATTGGAAATTGCAAAACTGGAATGATTCAAACTTAAGAAGCCTAGCAACTGGTTCAAGATGATGAGGAGAAGTGTGTACATTTTCATTGCCGTTACAAATGGCTTGAGCAATTTTTTCTAATGAAACTGAGGTGCAATGGATGTTAACGGGGTACTGTGGGTGGGGAACAAACTCTTCTACAGTCTTAATAACACCACAAAAATCAGACTTTGCTTTCAATATTTGTTTCATAAGTTGCGCTCGTGTGTTGACAAGTTCAAGTTCTTTGCCTTTCTTCCCGACGTCGCTCCGGCCTGAGAGAAAGAGGACTACGCTATGGTCAGTGACCTCTACCAGGACATCAGAGGTGTCAGTGGTCCATTTGATGCCGTTCCTCCAGACGGAGCACTGCTGGTGGAGGACAGGACTCCTGGCCGCTATCTTGTGAGGTTCCACGGCCTCGCTGTGCTCAAAGGCCAGTCGGAGCAGGAGGACCTGGTGGAACCGAGGGCTGAGGTAGTGATGGTCCAGACATCGCAGGACCCAGCAGCAGCTGTACTGGTCAGGCTGGGACTGCCAGAGGTCATGCGGAGGACTCTGCTGTGTCAGTGCTGGGAAGAGAAAGTGGCGCTCTTTACCGTACTCTGTGTGAGCCTGTGTCACCAGTTTGAGAAGATCGTCCTCCCTGATCTCCAGACAAAACTCCATGTGGACTAGAAAATCTACAATAAGCTGTGGGTTATACTGTGGGAAGCTGCTTTTGATCTTTGAGAAGGACAACGCCCGTTCGTGTGAGTGATTTGTGTTCCATGAAGTCGGCAGGTGCAAATACGGACCCGTTAACTTCTCGTAGCAGTGTATCTTTGTCAATGATGATCCAACTGCACTCTAAAGACTGGGTATGGATGTATAGAACAATACCTCTCTTGTTGAGAATGCTGCAAGCATCGTGGAGGTCTTCTATTGTTTGGGGAAGAAATTCCCTGCTAAAGAAACGGCTATGCTTAATAGTACTGTTCAGTGTTTTGAGTTGCAGTCCTGGTTTATCGCCACACTTTGAGACTAGATAAACATGAAAGCAGTGATTAGAAATTTGATTTCGGCCACTTTCCTCCTGTAATTTTGTCGTGCGTGGCTAGTATGATCGTTCGTAGTTGAGTCATTGCTGGAGACTCGCAGTAGCGGCAGTCCACCGTGATGTAGCCTACATAGTCAATGTTTCTTTGCATCAGCACAGAGGCTTTGAACACTTCTCTCTTTCTCTGCGATTCTGTTTTTGACTGGACGACTCAGCATGACTGCCTACTACTAGGAGACAGGGCTTGGCAACTGGCGAAGATGAATTTTCATAAACTTGACTCTGAATGAAAGAAACCCAGTATGAGATGGTCTGTTTTAGGTCCGATAGTATGGCTCTAAGATTTATAACGACAGGAAGATCCCCAATGATATGCTACTCCTGATGACTGTGTCATGTGAATTATGAAACTCTCTGTGACCTGCCAAGTCATATAGCGTAAGCCGTCCGATTCGTGAGCTATGAACTGTGTGACATTCAATACCAGCTGTTCTCTCTTTTACGCCCCCCACATGCTTCATTCGCCCCGTCCACCGAATAATGCTAGCTCTCTCTGTTGTAAGGCTTTGTTAGGGTGACTCTTGCCTGCACCCTGGTCTCCTATCACAAGAGGGAAACATTGGATTTAGCTTGCCTCGGTAGGACTTCCATGTGGTAAGTATCCTTGTATACATTGGCAGCCACTTGCACACCGTGTTGTAGGAGGAGTCTGATAATGCTGTGTTGTGTGTAAGAGACAGAGGTGCTAATCCTTCCTCGGTGGTGTAGTTCGGATCAGCATGGCACTCTGCTAGAAGACACTTCACAAACCTTATTGTTTCTTTCTTTTCCTCCTGAAACAGAACAGAAGTAAGCAGACTCTTACTTTGGTTAGCGACACATTGCGTTTTAACCCCTTTAACGTGCATGCGCAACGGAGTTATACTATATATTATTGCGCTGCAAATACCGTAATGTTATACGTGATTCTAAATATGGGTGAAACACGTGTGCAAAATTTGACTTTCGCACACTAACATTCGTTCTATTGGTCATTCTGTCCAATCTGTCTACCTTGGTTTTTTGGATTCTTGTTGAGGTGTAGTGGACAGAAAACGTAACTGACAGACAAATTAGTTCAGTGCCGGACTGGCTTGATTATAAAATGGCGATAATACTGCATTTTAAAGTGTTAGCTATCCATCCCTGTGTCAGACTCTGTCACGAGCTACGTATAATATAGCGGAGACCACCCATCACTCAGCAGTACTAATACGACATGAGTGGTGTCATTCCACGTCTAGTGTGGCCGATACTTTATTGCTTCTGGCGCTGCATGCGCTAGATGGGTATTATAGTACTTGGTTCGTAGTGTGTCATGTCTTCTGTCTGTCTGTCTGTCTGCTTACCACCCAACGTTTCTGCCACCACGCGCAAGACAATCGGCCAACAGAGCTCGATAGCAACGGGTTCAGTTGCATACCACGTGCTTCTATTTTTAAAGAGTGCTTTTCGTAAACTATTAATTATACTGTGTTGCTAAGTTAGGCAGTGAAAACGCAAGTGAAGCAGCCATATAGTAGGCTTACCCGCGTCGCGACTGGATTCACACAGTCTGATCGATCTTGCGTCTCTGTGTACCTCGGAGGCACCAGAAGATGCAACGCAGGGCGTGGTGTCGCTCTGGCATGCTATCTAGTAGTGTAGTTAGCCTGCGTCAGACTCGCGAGCTGGCAAGAGTAACAGCTAAAACTAAACCCCAGCCCATCAATTAGTGGTACGGTGCATGCTTTACTTACGTGTGCGCGTCACAATCCGCCGAGGGTTTGCACTTCAGTGCTTTTCATTACTATTGTGGACACCATGCTTTATATATCCCTCTCTCTTGTTTTTCACTCCCTTGTTCAGGACTCACTTGCAGGCAGTGTCAGAGGAGTGTTCCCCGTCATTACTCTGGTGTTTGGATCACAGTTAGCTTCATTGGTCAGATACCTCATTGCATCAAATTACCTGCCCTGTAGGAATGACGTTAGCACAGAAGTTATGAAGATTTACCTTATGTGTTATGTACTAATAGGTTGCCCATGTTGCACAACATCAAATAGGCTGTTGTTAGCGGGTTTTGGCACAGTGAGGTAGCTAGCATTGCTAGATTTTTACAGTTAGCAGCATCGACAGAAAAACGCAGGCACGTCATCAAAAAGTGCTTGCAGACAGGGGTGTGGGAATAACTATTAACAGCATAGCCAAGCCCAGAGGGTGTGCACACATATCCTGGATTGAACAACA